AAAGTGCCGGGTAGCTAGAGTGCCATTGTCACTGGGGCTGCATACGTGTGCGGACAGCGCATGCAGAGAGATGTGCGTCCTGCCAAGCTCCCGGGTGTGTCGTTGACCAAGAAGAGTGGGAAGGACGGCCCTTGCCAGGTGCCCGGCAAGTCTAGGCAAACTGTGGGCACCGACTACCCACAGTCCCTGCCAGGTCGCTGTGTTGAACGCAGGGCAGACACAGACCCTGCTCTTTTTTTTTTTTTTTTAATGTTTATTTATTTTTGAGAGAGAGAGACAGAGTGTGAGCAGGGGAGGGGCAGAGAGAGGGAGACCCAGAATCCGAAGCGGGCTCCAGGCTCTGAGCCGTCAGCATAGAGCCCGACGCTGGGCTCGAACCCACGAACTGCGAGACCGTGACCTACGTTGAAGCCAGATGCTCAACCGACTGAGCCACCCAGGCGCCCCAGACCCTGCTTTTTTAACACAATCCCATGACAGCAGGGCCTCTGCCCTTTTCCATGTGACACGTTGGTGGCCCAAGAATCACAGCTTTGCTCGGACAAGGATCTAAACCGTAAAGATGATCTCCAACTTCTGCGCCTTCGACATATGACCATTTTCCTGTCCAATGGAAGTTCACTCGACGCCTGGAGCACCTGCTCTGCGGCGCTAGGAGCGGAAGCAGAGAGCAAGAGGACACGCGGTCCCCAGCATCAGTGGGGTCAGGTATTCAACTCGGCCCGAGACCTTCTGAGAACTTAGAATAGCCACCCGCTCCGCTTCAGGGACGTTTGTCCTTGGACCTGCGAGAAGGTGCCTGCAGGAAAACGAGCCGAAGCTGCCCCAGGTGGAGGGCTGGCTCTGGGCCCATGGGGGAGGGGGTGACAGCAACGGGCCCGCACTCTCAGCCCTGATAAGGCAGGTGTGTGTTATCTCCTCTGCGGTGAAGTCACCTGCCCCAGGCTGCACCACCTGTGACTGGACACACCCCACAGCTTCCTGGTTCCAAGGCCAGGGATGGAACCACCCGCTGCGCTGCTCCGTGGGGGAATGTGACTTGTGTTTAGGGTTGGGGACACAGCAGGGACTTGGCGGAGGGGGGGGCACATTCGGTGAAGGCAGCACGTGGCTCACAGTGGCCCGATGGAGGGTGGGCTCCGGCAGCAACATGTGCAGATGTGCTCACGTGGGCACAGGGTGATCCCCACGCAGGAGTTGCGGGCAGGGTGTGGGGGTGCTAAGCGGGGGAGGGAAACGTGGGTTCCGGCAAGTCAGAGGAGCCAGGTCCTAAACCGGTCTTACTCGTTTGTCACCAGACCCGGCCCACAGAGCCCACAGAGTGTGTTCTGTCCCTGGGGTAGCCAGGCTGGCTGCAGCCATCGGTCTGAAGGCCTGGAAGGAGGACAGCCAGCCCACACCCCTGTGCCCAACACCCACACTCATACACACACACACACACACACACCCTCACAGAGGGGTGTCCCCCCAGAGGGGGATCCCCGTCCCCTGGGCCGCGGGGGCCTGTTGCCCATAGAGACGCCCTTGGGGACTCCAGAACCTCAGCCACCGTCACTGGGAGAAGTCCCAACATCCCCGGCAGCAGGGCCAGGAGGTAAACTGAGAGGGGCAGGAGAGGCAATGAGTCTGGGTGGGAGAGCTGACCTCCAACCGGCAACGGCCACGGGCCTGAGGTTTTGTCCGGGAACCCCTGGGTCTCTGTGCTGACGGACCACGTCCTCTCCGCCTCTCTGTTGCGCTTGTTCCCAGGGGCTCCTTCTCAGCAGACGTAGGTCCTCCACTCAGGCAGGCAGCTTCTCTTGTCTCCCTCACACCCAGTACGGGTGGGGACGGCGGGGAATGGGATGCCACACGGGCTAACGTGGAAGTCTTCTCACTTGTCTTCCTGTGCACACTTCTTATGTGCCCCAGGGCTCCGTGGTGGGGCGTCCAGCAGGTGCCAGTCTCCCAGCCTCAGGCTCATTCCCGGATGGACGCCCTCGTCCCATCACACTGGGAACCCGGCAAGAGGTGCAGCCCCGTAAGGAGACACCCATGGATGTGAGGCATCTCTAGTTCCTTCTTGCTCCTTCCAAAGAGCTGGGCCGGGATCTGGAGGAAGAAAGGAGCTGGACCAAGCTGGATGAGGCTTTGGCGACACGTGCCGTATTCCCCCCCTTTACCCAGCACTGAGTTCAGCTGTCAGACAGTCTGTGGAGTTGGTCACTGGGGAGCAGCGATCCCTGATGCTGGTCCCATGAGGCTGACCGACCGCTCACCTGCTTAGGCAGGGGCCGCGGGGAAGGGGTAAAGGAGTGACTTCCATATGGATTCTTTCTCAAGAAGAGAAGACACCGTGTTAGAGAGGAAGCAGGGTCCAAAATGGCAGGCCAAGGGTGGGGAGGGACTTACCAGAAGGGTGACTCTCTCCTCAATTTCTGGGTGGCCTTGGGCATTGGACTCTATCACCTGAGACTCCATCTGTGCATGGGCGCAGTGAGCGACAACGAATAATTATCACCTTCCGGTCCCATGAGGTCACTCGCTAGATGGTCTTTCTAAATACAAGCGTCTGTCTGCACTGTGTAGAGCTGTGTGGTGAAGGCTGATGTCCAAAAGCTGACTAATGTCAGAATGTGAGACTGTGTGATGTGACTCTACCCTCCCAGCAGACGAGTTTATCAGTGCTATCAGAAGGGTGTAACGACAAAATTGAGAGAGAGGTCCTCCTTTTCTTGCGTGTCGGTTCACATCAAACACAAACCAGCTTGCTACCGAAGATGAGGTTCATCATAGAATAATTACACTTCCTGATGATCAAAGATACTTTGATCTTTGATCTTAAGCGCCCCGATCATAGACGGTGGACGTATTATCCTATTTTGTAGATGTAGATACCGAGACCCAAGTTAAGTTCCCAAATCAGCAAGGGAGCCAGAACCAAGAGCTTCATCTCCTGATAGCGTCTGAAAAGCTCCTCCCTCGTTACGACGCATCATTTAATACCAAGTGCGAAATAAGAAAATGTTAACCATCTTGGATTTTTAATCACAAGCTCTGCTAATCAGGTAAGAAGAAAATAAAATGTAAACTATAGATTTATATCTTCAAATATTCTTAAAAGGATATCCTTGTTGTCAGGAGCCCCACCCATCCCTTGTCACTTCTGACCATGTGGTAGCTTCCTGTGCCAGTGCCCCAGGGGGACCACATTCTCCACCCAATACTGGTTGTGGGTTTCACTGAGAAACTGATTGCTCAATATTTATTGAGGTCTCTGTACTATTCCAGCACGAAGATGAAACAGCAATTCTTCCTCAAGACGTCTTTATAATGTTTATTTATTTTTGAGAGAGAGGGACAGAGCGTGAGCGGGGGACGCAGAGAGAGAGGGAGACGCAGAATCCAAAGCAAGTTCCAGGCTCCGAGCTGTCAGCACAGAGCCCGACGCGGGGCTCGAACCCACAGACCGTGAGATCGTGACCTGAGCCGAAGCCGGACGCTTAACCGACGGAGCCGCCCAGGCGCCCCCCTCAAGACATCTTTATGCAAGAAGTTGGACAACTGGAACCTTCCCTTTATGTGTCTCTCCACATCTGGGTCCCTGGCTCGGGGTGCGCTGTGCCGTGCCCAGGGACGCATCTGCCTGGCTGCCCTCTGGGGAGGAGAGACACCGCAGTCTGTCTGATGGGCTGAACCGGAGACAGCTGGGGTGTATACAGTTTCTCAGGAGAGGGAAGGAGTTGGTGGGTCACACACAAAGGCACAGGTGGGTGGAGGATCTGGGAGTCTATAGGGACCAAGAGGACATTTGCTTGAGAAAGACACTGTGGAGACTCTGGTGCAAATGTCCCCTTGAGGGCCTTGGGCGTCACTTGCTAGGGACCCGGGGAGAGTCCCCAAGGGCTGGTCTAAAATCTGCTACTCAGAGCAGTGGGCAGAGATGACATCCTTCCAGAAGACAGAGGAGACTGTGGACCGGGGAAGTTTCCAGACTGGGTTTTGTGCTTAGGGCTGACCCTTAGTAAACCCTCGAGCTAGGCCACGTTCACAGTCTTGGCCACCCCTTTCCACACCCCTCTGTCCCTAGCGTCTGCAGGGGCCGGCCCGCTCTGGATCCCGTGCTGCACGGCGAGGCTCTCTGGCGGGACACCCGTGAACGGAGCAGACCCCCCATCCCTCCCCCGTGTCCTCATAGAGAAGCTTGAACCTAACAGTGGAACGGGATCAGAGGAATCACGGGGCCGGAGGAGAGGTATTCCGGGGGCAACAGGAAGACCTTTCCTCACCCCCGAAATCACACTTGGGACAACCACGTGATAGACAGTTGGCACGTATGCATCACGCTCTGCACGCACACAGGCCTCTTGCTGTCTTGAAGCTGCGGGCACCTAGGCGCATCTTCCGTGGCCTGGGAACTTCATGATGCCCAGGGTTCCGCCCTGGTAGAATTCCACTCGCTTCTGCCACCCATCTGCCTCCACCAGGGCGTCCTGTTAGGCCAGAGCTGACAACAGTTCCAAGAAGAGAATAGAAATGCCAGACAGTCCCCCACTCCTCCGGGACCTGCTGTGTCCACCGAGGGAGGCTCCCCTTCCCTCCCCAGCCATGGTCTCTGTGAGAATCAGCCGGGTGAGAAGCTTCTAGAGTGGCAGGTCTGCCATCGGGGCTAGCAGAGGCTGGCTGGCCTCCAACGGCCCCCATGCTGGTTCCCTCCAGGCTTTCCTGGGCGGGCCCTGCGCTCCAAATTCAAATTCCGGCCTTTCTGGTTTGCAGCTGGTGCGTCCCTCCCTGGGAGGAGGATTTCGCCCAAGGACATGGGGAGGGCGGAGAGCCTTCCTCCTCCCTTTGCTCCAAATGCAGAAAAGGAGGGGGGTTCCATCCCTTGGCAAGACTGCCACGGGAGCTCTGCCCTCACACAGACACAGCCTCCCGTCCCAACCGCCGGTCCCCGTCTCCAACGTGAGCCCTTTGAGCCAAGTGGCAGCCGGCTCGGAAGCTCTGTGACAGGTGTACGTGACATGGCGGAGCAGCTGTCTAAAGAACAGGTGGCCGAGTTCAAGGAGGCCTTCACCAGTTTTGACAAGGACGGGGATGGAAAGATCGACGTCCAGGAGCTGGGTGCCGTGATGCAGGCCGTGGGCGAGAACCTGTCAGAAGCCGAGCTGAAGCACCTCATCGCCCAGGTGGACACCGATGGCGACGGCCACATCAGCTTCGACGAGTTCCTGGCAGTGATGGCCAAGATCATGAAGTCCTCGGGCAGCGAGGCAGAGATGCGGGAAGTCTTCCGTGCCTTCGACCTGGACGGCGACGGCCACATCAGCGTCAACGAGCTCAAGCAGGCCATGGCCAAGCTGGGCGAGAATCCCTCCCAGGAGGAGCTGGACGCCATGATCCAGGGCGCCGACGTGGACCAGGACGGGCAGGTGAACTACGAGGAGTTCGTGCGCATCCTGTCTCAGAAGTGAGGCCCGGCCCGGGGCCCATCTCCTGCCTGATTCTGGTCCTCCTGCCTTCTCGGGGCCCCTGCTTCCATGGCACAGATGTAAAGGGGAAGTCTGGGTGGGGGGTGGGAAATTACCTACTGGAGGGAGGGCCTGGGTTCCGCCCCGTCTGCCCGGTGAGACCTCGGAGCAGCTCCTGTAGAGAAACGGGGAGGCCCCCTGCCTCACTGGGCTGCGGTGAGGGACCCCAGAGCAATGTGATGGCTGACATAAAAGCAGTTGGACTCCGAGAGCGGTGCTGGCGAGTCTGGTTGGAAACTGGAAAATCGAAGGCCCCGAGCGGTGGCATCTGGGGTTCTTCTGCGCCTCTACGCCCTGCGCTCGGGCCTAGTGGGGGAGCAGACCTGGGTGGGCCAGATGGTCTGCCTTGGCCTCCCCCGCATGCCCCAGGAGGACATCAGGTGCGGGCGGCCGTGTAGGGCTGGGAGGGGACAGAAGAGGCACGTTTCTTTGGTTCAAGGGTCTGCCTGAGCTTCTGGGTCAGGACCCGAGGCCGGAGTCTGCAGCCCGGAGCCTGGGAGGGAAACACTGTCTACACCACAAACCATAAAGTCATCACTCCTTGCATTTAGCCAACTGTTCTGTACGCTCAAATAAAAAAAAAAAAAAA